GGGACTCTCTGTTGTGTTCCCCGTCAGGGCGGTCATTGGTGGTAGCTGGGCACCATCCAGTTCTTCTGCTCTCAGGCTGATGAAGTCTCTGGTTTATGTGGCCCTTTCTGTCTCTTGGGCTAATACTTTCCTTGTGTCTTTGGTGTTCTTCACTCTCCTTTGCTCCACCCACCCCTAAATTTACACAGCGTGTTTAAACACTTCACCTTACTTTCCTATCTCCTATATCTTCTGAGTCCCCCAACAGACTTGCTAAGCAGTTACAAATGGGGAAACTGAGGCTCCAAGAAGCCAAGAGATTCACCGGAGGGCATCAGCTGGTGAGTGAGTGGCACAGCCAGGAGGTCTGGAACCCAAGTGTCATACCCCCAGCAGTAGCACAGCCTGTCCTAGGGAGTCTGGGGTCAGGGGTCTTAGTTACTGGACAGAGGCACCCTTCAGGCTCCAGGAGAGGCACTGCCCATTGCCCAGTCCAGCTCTCCAGGGTGGGCAGGCTTTAGAAGCAACCCTGGAGGGAACAATCTGTATGCATTCATTCATCACTTAGGGCGCCTCTTTCACTAGCCCAGACCTTGCAGGATTCCTGACTGAAGGGGCATGTCAGAGCAAACCCAAAGGCTACATCCCTCACAGACTTAAACGATCTCATTTAGTCATCGCCACTACCTGTCTCACCAGCCCCATCTTACAGAAAAGGAAACTGAGGCTCTGAGGAGGGCAGTGCCTTGCCCAAGATCACAGAAGGAGGGAGATGAGACCTCCGAGCCATGGTGGCCCTGCCTCCAGTTTACAAAGCCACAGAGTTATTGGGTTTAGGCATTCAAACTAATCATGCCCCTTTCAGCAGGCCACCGTGGGAGGCTGCATGTTTAATCTAACGAGGGGCTCTCCTGGAGGGAGCCAGGGTGAAAACCCTGAGGAGACAGATGGGCACACCTCGTTTGCCCACTGAGAACAGCGGCTGGGTCTGCAGGGCCCTCCTCACACCCTCTCCCCCAGCCCCCACCCTGCAGCCCTGTCTGCAGAGCTGACTGTGGGCAGCACTCCCGTCCCCCAAGCCCCAGAGGACCAGGGCCAGACGGTGTCACCTCTGTGCCCACACACCCCCAGCCCTGGACCCAAGGTGCCGGGGACCCACTCAGGCTGTGTCCTGACTCAATGTCCAACGCGCCCTGCTCAGGTTTCCCCCCACCCTTCCACTCCTCCTAGCCACACACTTAGCTACCTCCACACCACCCGCGCCTCACCCTTCCTTTCTCCTCCGCCCACTAGCTTCTTCTCCAGGAGAAAGAACCTGAGTCTCTCCCTTTCTTAAAACAACCTCCCACTCCCATCTCTCAGCTCACTTCCTCCTTTGCCCACCGCATCCCCTCTTGCTGAGGCCACCCCTGACTGCCATCCACCCGATCCAGGGACTCACCTCAGGCCAGGCCACCCCTAGTCAGCCCCGCCTGACACCACGGGCTGTGCCCTCACCCTTGGTTTTCCTGGCACAGCCCCTCCTAATCCTCAGCTCCGGGAAGCTCTCACCCCCCAGGGCCCTGTTCTACTCTCCACCAACATGGGGATTTAATTGGCCTCCACAAATGGCTGGGAGTCCCTGGGTGTGGCAGGTTAAGACCTTGGCTGCTAACTGAAAGGTTGGAGGTTTGAGCCCACCCAGAAGCGCCTCAGAAGAAAAATCAGCCACTGAAAAACCCCTGTGGAGCACAGTTCTGATATTCATTGGGTTGCTCGCTGCGAGTTGGAATCAACTCCATGGCAACTGGTTTGGTTGTTTTTTTTTTTGTTTGTTTGTTTTGGTTATAAATGGCTGACTCAGAACCCCCATCTCCAGGCCTAACCTCTGTGTACCTGTTTGTCCCCAAAGCTCTCTCTCAATCAACAGCCCCAAGCTCACCTTGGCAGGGCCTGCTTTGACACAGGGCTGTAGATCCAGTACATGGCAGGGACTCAGACATTCACGGAACAAAGGCATTTTGGTTACAGCTGCCTCCTCACTGGTCTCAGAGGAGCTAGGCCCCTCCTTCACCCCACCCCACCGCAGCCCTGCCCCAGCCCAGCCACAGGGGCTGCCCTTCTAAAACTGAACACTGACCACAGCTTAAACCCCTCCTGTGGTTCCTCAGCCTCACGGGACAAAGTTCACAATCCCAAGCTAGCAGAAGAGGCTATTTCTACCGCCCATCCGCGACAGGGCACATGGCCCTGAACCCTGGCTGTTCAGTCCTCAGTCCAAGAGCACATCCTTATGTCATTTACCTTTGCACCCCCAGTACCTGGCAGGATGCCTGGCACCCAGCAGGTGTTTGCTCAGCAGAAGGACTGACTTTTAGAGCCAAAACTGACCCCTGAGACTACAGGACCCAAAAGCAACTCAGAGGTTGAGCACGGGGCCCAGGGTGGCCCATCCACAGGCATATAAGTAGTGTGTGGCCAAACCCTCACTTGAGTGACCCTGGCAGTCAGGAACCAGACCAACCCACCTGCAACCCCACGTGCATACTATGTGCAGGAGCTGGCGGCTGGCCTTGAGGCTGTGGGCTGGGCATGGCTCCACGCACACAGTAGGGCCTCAGCAAACACAGGCTGCTGGACTCAGGACAATCTCTCCAGAGCTGACAACTCCATGCAGGGGTCCCACATCCCTCTCTAGGCCTTGATCTTCTCATCTGTAGAATGGGGCTACCCCACTCTACAAGTCTGAGAGACCCTGAGTGGTCACCTCCAAGCTCGTCGTTTGTTAATGGAAGCGGCTAAAGCAGCTGCGTTCCAGGCTCTGTGACTCCACTATTAGCCCACCTGGCTTTTTAACCTTCCCCCAAGCCGTTTCTCACAGGGTAGTCTCTGGACCACCTACACCAGGATGACCAGGGGACTTGTTAAAATGCAGATCCCAGGCCACCCTGGACCTACGGAGTCCAGCCCACAATTTGCATTTTAGGCAGCGCCCAGAGACCTGGGCACAGTGAAATCTGAGAACGGCAGCTCCAAATCAACTGTGCCCAGGCTTCCGCCTTCGGAGACCAAAGCGTTACAGTCAGACCTCGTTTTATGGAAATAGCATTCACCAGTACACCTGCGGGTGGAGAAGGGATTTCTATTACTCTGATAATACATAACTTAGTTCCTGCGACGACCTAGTTCCCCCAAAGAACTCAGTGAAGTTTCAACTGCCCCGTCCCATCCCTTTTGGTCTCCGGGGGCTTGGTCACTGCTTAAAGCGGGTCCCCAGTCCGGCCCGGGTCCTCCCGACCCACCAAACCCGCGGCCGCCCGGGGTCCCGCGTCTGCGGCCCTCGGGCCATCCGGGGCGGGGTCGGGGGGCTGCGGGTCGGATCGGCCTAGGGATCCGGCACGTCCCCCGCTACTCACCTCGGAGCTCTGCCCAAGTGCCGAGTGCCGTGAGTGCCTGTTGGTACGGAGGACGAGCTCTGGGAGGCGGCGGCCTCTGCACTTCAACTGGCGGCGCCGGCGCACGGAGCTCTCCGCGCGAGGGAGGGAACCCGCGAGCTGCTCGGCTTGGGGTCGTTGCTGGGGCGGGGACTGGAGCGCCGGGACGGCCGGGGCTCGGGGTGTGGCGGGACCGCGTGCGCGGGGCCCGAGGGCGTGGGCGCAAACGGCGCACCTTGCGCCCTGCACGCTCGTGCTCTACCCACGAAGGGCCCGGAGCCACTCCGACTGGTCTATCCCTCGGCGTCCCGGCAGGCGTGGGCCGTTGCGACTCCCACCCCACCCGGGAGGGGGCGCGGGGCCCCGGCAGAGCCGTGGGAGGCGGAGCCCGGAGGGGGCGGCCCGGGGCGCCGGGATAAGAGCGCAACAGGTTGCGGACTGCGGTCTCGCGCAGTGGCGGGCCGTGATCCCGGGATGTCGCTCGCGTTGCTGAGCCTGGCCGCGCTGTGCTGGGGCGCCGCGTCCCTGGAGCCGGTAAGCCCCCACCGCGCCCCTCTCCCACGTTCCGGCCGCGGGAACCCCGACCTGACGGCGCCCGACCCGCCAGCCCACGCTGCTCCAGGGCGTTCGTGGAGGGCCACCTGGAAGAAGCAGGTCTGCACCCCCGGTGCAGCCTCGATGGGCCTCAGAGCTCCATCAGCCGGGTGCTCCAAGCCCAGAGGGCTTAGGCCGTGAGGCTGCCTGAGTCAGGGGCATGGGAATCAGACAGGCCTGGTGCCACCGAGTGCTTTTAATTCAGTCATTTATATTAACCGAGCCTCGGTGTCCTCAACTGTAAGAAGAGGGGTAATAACCTAACTCATCCAGGTGTCGTGTGGAACTACCACAACGCCTGCAACGTGGTGCACAGAGCCTGGCGCATCGTGGGTGCTCAATATTGTTATTGCTTGGGTCTTGGGGTCCGTTCACCTATGGGGCACAAGAACTGTCTCTCCATTACCACCTGCTTTTTCTGCCATGTTGATTTGGGAACTCTCAGGTGGGTTTCCTTTCTTTCCCAGTGCCTTGAAGGGTTGAGAGATCCTAAAAACCAAAAAGCTCATCCCCAAAATAGTATTCGAAATTAATATCCCTGCCTTTAGCATAGCATATAGCATAAAAGCATGATGGTACTTGTTGATGGTTATGGAAAGACAGACCTCATTCACTACCCAGAGGTCTTCAGCTTCTTTCTTTGCCCTTTGTCTCAGTTTGGGGGCCCCTTTGGCCTTTTCCACCAGAGGAAGATACCACTTCCTTTGCCTTAGTTGCTGTAAGGCCAACAATTTGAACTCTTGTGAAGTTTAGAGCTGTTGCTTTGCTTAAAACTTGCGTCACCAGCCCTTTGACAAGAACTCAGCTAGTTTAGTGGCTTATTGTTTAAAAGTATTTCTGATGATACCCCTTGAAATTCGGCTTTAAAACAGACAAAGATGAGTGATTGGTGATCTCACCCAAATCCAGCTTACTCAAACCAACAAGTCTTGTCCTCTGTAAAAATGGTGTGGTGGCAGCAGCAGACCTCCTCCTCTAACTTAACAAGGGGGGAGAATCATCATCAGCATCAATAGCCCAAGGCTGATCCCCATGAGGTAGAGGTCAGACATATAGCCACCATCCAAACTTTTTACCAATTCTGGCACCAGTTGTTCCTCCCACGGCACTCTCTACTTCTCTGCTGGGTTCAGTAATTCGTTGCAATGGCCACACAGAATTCACAGACACTACAGTTATAAAGTTTATTAGGGAAGTGACAGTTACAATTCAGGATCAAGAATGACTGAGGATACAGTTCTTTGATCAGGACAGCTTCTTCTCAGCTGTGCCTGCAGGCAGGCCTCTCTCTGGCCCTCAGCCTGGCCTCTGCTTGGCTTGGGCAAGTGTTACAGAGCTCTTTAGCTCTGCCAGCAAGTGCCTGTGGGCACCCCACTGCACCAGTAAGCCTCGGCCCGAAGGTGACAGCATGCCCACTTTGCTCCATGAACCAGGAAGCCCACTGCGCCATCTCATGCCAGTCTCCTGGTTCGGCTGCCCATTTCTTTGCTACTGCTTCTCACCGTCATTCTTTCTCTGTCTCCTGGGTCTAGGAAGTTCTCAGCACAGGGATCCCAGGTCCAAAGGATGCGCTCCACTTCAGTCTCTTCTTCTTGATGGTAGTAAGGTCCCCCTCTACTCTAGGATGGGCTCTCTTTTAAGCCTAGTACAACATGCCAAAACTGACCCAGCCCCTAGTTAGGGTTCCATATACCTTATTTGCATGGTCCCCCCCCCCCCACAAGGTTCCATGCACCTTAGTTGCATGGTCCCACCCAATCATAGCGTGGGAATCACAAAAACTATGACTAGAAGGGCCATATTAAGTAATTCACTGCACCGCATCCTCGTCATCTTGCCAGGTATGTGGAAACATTGAGGCTGAGAGGAGTCAGGTCCCAGACTGGTGGATTTATCACAATAAGTCTTGTCACTGGAACTTACTGCTGCCTAAAGTTATACCTTTTAGGTTCAGTATTTTATCCCAAAGCCAAAGTACTAGTTATTTTTTCTTATGACAAGATAAGGAGCCCTGGTGGTACAGCGGTTAAAGTGCTTGGCTGCTAACCAAAAGATCAGCAGTTCAAACCTACCAGCTGCTCCGTGGGAGAGAGATGTGGCAGTCTGCTTCTGTAAAGAAAGACTTGCAGCCTTGGAAACCCTATGGGACAGTTCTACTCTGTCCTATAGGGTTGCTGTGAGTCAGAATCTACTCGACAGCAGTGGGTTTGGTTTTTGGTTTACGACAAGATATGAGCAGTTAACTCCAAAGGGTTTAGTACTGGCCTTTCTTGGACACTGATATTTAATTTTTTGAAAGCTCTTTTAGGTAACATGGTGTAATCACAACTGCATTGGTTTTCTACATAGCTACGGCAAGTCCTTTTGTATCAGAAGAGGAATATTTTAAAGAACCCAGGGAGGCACAATGGGCTGCATTCTTAGACTTCTTCTGTTAGTCTTCTGAGCACTGCCAGTCCTCAACCTGAGAAAACTCAGCTAACAGGCAGACTGTCCTGAAAACCTAGAGTTACACATTAGAGTGTGAGGGCCTTCATGATGGCCTGGAGTCATCTCTGCTCGTGATGGGGAAGACCAAGGCCCAGAGGGTTGGGATCCACCTCTAGCCCTTACGTGAGGTGGATGGCAGGCCTGAGGGTCGGCTGTACTGATGGTTAATCCGTGGTCCCTCATAGTTTGCTTACCATGGGGAAGCTTACTTTATTCCAAACTGTGAAACAGAACCAGCTCATCTTTTCTTTGAAAGTTTGTCACTTGTGTATGTATTTAAGGAAAAAAGATGGTGTTTTGTCTACTTTGGCAAAAGAAGCTTGTGGTTTGTTAGCACTCAGCATGAGCCCTGCTTTCCTTCTCTCTTGCAGACTATTCAGTGTGGCTCTGAAAACGGTAGGTACATTACGGAACAGGTAATTGGGGTTTTACACTGAAGGTACAGTTGGACTCTTAGGGGGTCTGAGTCAAAGCAATAATACGTCCTCAGCGGCCAGGCACAGGGTGAGCCATAGCTTAGTTGGCTGATTTGGACGGAGCCTCTATCCACGCAAGGCAGAACCCCCAGGGAACAAAGAGGTGATTCAGGTGGGCTGGCTTCTGGCAGGAAGGGAGGCACCTGCAGGGAGGGAATCCTTATAAGAGGTGGAGAGTGAGTACTGTGGAAGGGAGGTCACTTAGAGGTGGGGACAGGAAGGAAAGGTTATGGAAGATGGGGTGTTTGAGATGGTAGTGTGTCAAATGTGGATGGGAAGGGTGAGCTGGAAGAGATGGCACACACACACAGATGCACACACACGCACGCACTCAGAATGGTCCCATGTGCTCTGGAGGGCCAGGCCAGGAGGCTGAGAGTAATCTCTCAGGTCAGCAGTCACCTCGGCTGCCGGCACGGAGAATGTCTGGCCTGCCTGCACAGGGAGAAGGAAGGGTGATGCACTGAGTGGGGATGGATGGAGTGTGTCACTTGGAGGAGGTGGCATTAGCCAGGCCTGGAAGGGGAGTGTCACGGGGAGTCTGGCCTTTCCCAGGACCATCTCCAGAGTGGAAGGTCCATCACGCTCTGACCCCAGGAGACTTGTGGGAGCTCCGAGTGGAACCTGTTAAAACCCGCGTTGCACTGGAGGAGTATTCACTTCTGATGAACATAAGCTGGATACTCCGGGCAGATGGTAAGTTCACATCAGTCAAAGATGAGGCCTGAAGTGTCTACTAAAGCAGAACACATGCAGACTACATGACCCATCAATCCCATTCCTAGGCATATGTTGTTGCTGGGTGCCATCAAGTTGATTTCCACTCAGAGCGATCATGTGACAGAACAGACTGCCTCATGGGGTTTCTTGGCTGTAATCTTTACGGAAGCAGATTGCCAGGTCTTTGTTCCATGGAGCCACTGTGTGGGTTCGAATCATCAACCTTTTGGTTAGCAGCCAAGCCTTTAACCTTTGGCACCACTGGGGCTTCTTCCTAGGTGTATACCCAAGAGAAATGCGTACGTACATGCACCAAAAGCCACATACTTGAATGTTCATAATAGCACTATTCATAGTAGTTAAAAACCGTAAGGCACTTAAACGCCCACCAACAGTAGAATAGAATCCAACACAGCAACAAGAACAAACCACCTATTCTATACACAGCAATCTGGATGAATCTCAAATACCTCAGAGGCCAGATTCAAGAGTTCATGTATACATACTTAGATGCGTAATGAAAGTTGGATATACTGTATGATTCCATTTACAAAAAGTGCAAAAACAGGCAATGTTAATCTAAGCAATTACAAGTCAGGATACGATTATTCTTGGGTGTGGAGGAGGACTGAAATTCATCCAGTGGTACATTTATATCTGTGTGCGTTCCTGTATGTATGTTATACTTGATGGAAGAAAAAAGGGTATGACCAGAGATGATTCTCCCAAGCTAGGAAAAGCACCTGCTCAGGTAGCAGGTTACTTTCCACTTCCTGAAGGACGTCGTGAAAGTCTTGGCATTTCCCCAAGATTATGCTGCATGGCAACTTGTGGTTTCTTTTGATGAGCTAATCCTGCATCAGTTGGGTCTTGAGGGAGTAAGCCTTTGAGAGGTAGGGAATGGGAGGAAAGGGCATTCCAGGGAGAGGGATCAGCAAGGACAAAGGTGCAATCAGACCTGGTACGGTTTGGCGAGGATGCACTGGAGGGTCTCTGCGGGGTTCCCCAAGGCAGGCTCGTTCCTCTTAAAAGACCCAGAACATTGCAGAGCTAGTCTCCTTTGCAGGTATCCTGTGAAATCCAGGCACATCTGTGACGAGGAGAGAGCTTGTGCTTTGGAATTTGCATCCATACTCTGCCACTGATGAGCTTTGTAGGCAGGCTTTGGCAAAGCTCCTGGAAACTGCCCAAGTGTCACTTTCCCTGTCTATAAACTGGAGACAATAATTGTGCCTACCTTTTATGACTGCTGTGAATACGAACTGAGACAAGGCAGGCAAAGTGTGTAGCGTCAAGTCTGCCACATATTAAGTGCTACATAAACCACTGCCCTCTTGCCTGTCTTGGCAGCCAGCATCCGCATGTTGAAGGCCACCAAGATCTGCGTGACCAGCAAAAGCAACTTCCAGTCCTATGGCTGCGTGAGGTGTAATTACACAGAGGCCTTCCAGAGTCAGACCAGACCCTCAGGTGGCAAAGTAAGCACTTTCAGGCACTTGGCTAGCTGCTGTTGAAAGCCAGGCCCTTTGCTTGGGGAGCACGGGTGATGTCCTGCACAAACAGGCTGAGGAGCAGCTATGACACAGAGCCTGGACTACGGATGGCTGGGTTCAAATCCCACTTTGCTACGTCTCTGCTATCTGCCCTGGGCGAGTCAGCATTCTGGGCCTCAGCTTCCCCATCAGCAAAGTGAGGAGAGCTGGATTTTATACTTCTCTGATTCTGGGAGTTTCACTGGCAAATCGTATGGGGTCCATTCCCTAAGGAGACATAACAAGATGTAACAAGCTTCAGCAGTAGGTTAAGGAAAGTATAAATGAAAAAGGCAACACACAAAGGTGCTGTGGCTGCGCTGCGCAGTGTGTCGGAGATTCAGGGCTTCTCTGCTTTGCCTTTCAGTGGACGTTTTCGTACACAGGCTTTCCCATAGAGCTGGACACAGTCTATTTCATTGGGTCCTATAATATCCCCACTGCAAATATGAATGAAGATGGCCCTTCCCTGTCTGTGAATTTCACCTCACCAGGTAAACGTCCTCACTCTTGTCATTCTGTCTTGCTGGGATGCTTGTTATGTGGTTTGGTGAAGAGCGCCCAGGGGCCTGGATGCGTTGTTTGGCCTTGCAGGTCTCAGCTTCCTCATCTCTAATACAGACACAACAGTACCCCCGCACTTCGCTTACGGAGTGGAGGTGAGGACTAAGTCAGGGAAGGTAAAGGAAAAAGCCCATTCTCCGTTCCTGCGTGCCAGGCACAGTGCTAAGTACTTGACATGCATCATCTTGGTTAAGCCTCCCAACAACCCCGAGGCTGGGAAAGACTCCTTTTACAAAAGAATAAATTTTGCCCCTGGGTTTACACATAAAAAAAGTGAAGCTGGCATTCAAACTCAGGTCCTTCTTGATCGACGCACTTTAGCTACTCTTCATGCCATTCGTACAAAAAGTCTGTCCAGGCTCAGCTCTCCGGCAGGCTGTTTAACAGCGTGTGGCTGGCTCTGTGGCCTTGTCTCCTGAGCTGTCTGTGAGAGGCCGGGTGGGACGGAGTTGAATGCTGGGTTTTTTACCGGTTCTATGACACAAGATCAGTTCATTACTATCACACCTGCAGTGTCACACACAGGGCTACCGTGAGGATAAGGCAGGATGATGCATGTGAAGGGCCCAGCACAGAGTCAGGCACAGCAGCTCTCTCCCCACCCCATCTGGGTCTGCTGCTTGTACCCTAGTCCCTCTTGTCTCTGTCAGGGGAAGCACTAAAGCATTGAAGCCAAGTGGGGCAACTGCCACTTGGTTGTTCGTTGAGATTGTGATTCAGGGAATTCTTGGTGCTGCACAACTTACTATACAAGTTTCCAGCTTTCCTGCTGTCACCAAACTGCTTTTTTTAAAATAAACTTTTTATTTTGGAATAATTTTAGATTTACAGAAGAGTTGCAATACTAACAGAGTTCCCATATAGCTCTCAGCCAGTTTCTCCTACTGTTAACATCTTACATTACCATAGTACTAAGAAGTCAAAATTAAGAAACCACACGGGTACTTTACTGACAATTAATTAAACTCCAGACTTTATTTAGATTTGATCTGTTTTCCCATTAATGCCCTCTTTCTGTTCCAGATCCAGTCCAAGGAAATGCTTTGCACGTAGTCCTATCTCCTTAGTCTCCTTGGTGACAGTTCCTTCATCTTTCCTTGTTTTTCATAACCTTGTCTACAGGTCAGCCATCCTGTAGCACGTCCCCCTGCCTGGGTCTATCTGATGTTTGTCTCATGATTAGACCAGGGTTGCGGGTTTTGGGTGAGAATAGCAGAGGTGACATGCTCTTCTCATGGAATAGTAATTGCATCGTATCGGCAGGCCCATGACATCACTGGTGATGTCAACCTTCATCACTCCATTGAGGTGGTGCTTGCCGGGCTTTCCCACTGCAAAGTTACCATGTTTCCCTCCCAGCTCTGATCTCTGGAAGCCAATCACTAAGGCTACCCAACCCTGGATGGGGGGCGGGGTTGTAGACAATTAAGCTCCACCTCCAAGAGTGGGGAGTATCTGAATATATTACCAAACCCCACTTTTAAAGGATGTCCGAGTTCTACTCAGTCTCCCGAGTCTTTGCTTGGGGGCCATAGATACTGTTTGGATAAAGGCTGTATTTAAATTAGACTCTGGTTATCACTTCATGGCCAAGTGATCTGTTTGACAGTAAAATGTTGGCATCCCATTTAAATTTCGCTATCTTACCTCACATCTGGCATGTTCTGCCAGTTCATTACAGGCATGGTAAGCATATAATGTGTGTGTGCACTTGTTGCCAAGGTATGGAGGTGGAGCAGAGATCCCTTTTCTAAAACATAAAAACTTTCATTCACCTTTCCAGGCTGCCTAGACCACATAATGAAATACAAACAAAAGTGCATCGAGGCAGGTAAGTAAGTACAACATTTGCTTTTGTTACTAGAAGGAAACCATAGCTTGCACTAGCAAAGCTAAATCCATCATGTTACAGATGAAGACACAGAGGTCCAGAGGGGGAGTTATTTATCCAAGGCAGTCAGGGAAGGCAGGAGTACCCAGGGTGCCCGACTCCCCGTCATGTTCTCCCCAGTGAACCCAGCAGCCTGTCCGAGGAAGGACTTAGTAGGCTTATGGAGTGGAGCAAGGTCACACAAAACTGCCCCTTCAGGACAGTAAGTCCCAAGGGTGCAGTATCCAAGGAGTTGTATAAATTTCTGGGTGATATCATCTTAGAATGCCAATGAGGCTAGTGGTATTTAGGGGTATCAGCACCCATCCTGCAGGCACCCAGCCCACAGGCACCTCTTTGCACTTTGTCAGACTGAGCTGCGGCACGTGTTCTACTCGTTGGAAAGAGGACTTGGAGCTCTGTGCTTCCTCTCTGGCCTCCCACCCACCAAGAGAGATCTGTACGGGTGTGAAGGCTGCTGGGGTGTGAGGAAGTCTGAGGGCCTTGATCGGTGAGCTAGGGCCTGAAATGATCTCCTAGGTGAGCAAAATAACTCCTATTTATCATGTTCCTGGAAACTAACCCAGTCCTTATTTGCAAGTCACATGAATGAAACAACTGACTTTCTGGCAGAGTCAACCTGTCAGACTACCCTCTAAGCCGCAAAGCAGTCCCTTATTTCTTCACAGCCAGTAAAGCTGGCAGAATGGTCTGATGGATGAAGCTCCTGGAACCCAGAATGTGCTAGTAGTTGTAGTGCTGATCCTGAATTCATTTGCTCTATGATCTTAGACATAAATGCCCCCTAACCTGTGACTCCTTCTCCCCAGCCTGGGGAGGAGAAAGTACTGACCCCAGCCCTTAACTCAAAACAGATGGTGAGAACAGAAGCCAGTAGTAGAATCTAACCCATGGTTCCTACCTCCCTCAGCCCAGGGAAGCTACTTTTAACTAAGCAGTGACTTGGGGCTCCCAAACTTTCTTAGGCAGTAGGTACTTTGAGATTCCTGAAGCAATCATAAAAGTGCACTGTGTAGTCAAGTCCTATCTCTTGGATGTGTGACTTAGAACTTAGATTTGATGCTGTAAAGTCCTTTGGGGATTTAAATGAAGATTTAAGAGTTAGCAGTTCATCCATGGGATTCTCTCTTGATTCACAGGAAGTCTGTGGGATCCAAACATCACTGCTTGTAAGAAGAACGAGAAGATGGTGGAAGTGAATTTTACAACCAGTCCCCTTGGAGACAGATACATGGCTCTTATCCAAAGTAACGCTGTTCTTGGATTTTCTACTGTGTGGGAGGTACCTTTCCCCCTCATTCCCTTAGCATCAACCTGCAGCTTTCCTTACCTTGTTGAAGAAAAATGTGGACACTCCAGGGGAATGTAGATTTTCCTCACTTACCCTTGAAAGAGCAGAGGACTACCGTCCTTCGACAGCTTAAGAGTAAATCCCTGCGGGCAACCTTGGAAATGTCACTGTGAATCTAAAATTAACCAAAGGTAGCAGTTTCAGAAGTACAAAATGAGTCCTTATTCATACATAGTCTAATGGATTAAAAGTTGGTTTGGGAAGAGTGGCTTCTTCATTGGCAGTCTCTGGTCTGTTGCCACATTTGGCTCCTAACTCTTGATTTTTGTCTTGCTAATCTGCACAGAAAAAGCTAACCCGGACTTCTGTGGTGATCCCAGTCACTGGGGAAAGTGAAGGTGCTGTGGTACAGGTAGTTTAATGAGGTTCTTTGTGGAGGGGAGGGTGCAAGAAGACTGCTCCACCATTAATTGCTTTTGATGAGTCCTTTTAAATTGGAGATGAGTTCTCTAATTTGCTTCTGCCAGCAGTCCCACACTGAGTGACATTGATGGGGGAATCCTTTGTCTCAGTCTTCACAGTGGTGGTGAGGTCAGGAAGCTGACCTTGCTGTCATGGTCCCTTTCACTTATATTAGCAACTGCTGACTTCCTAAAGTGCTTTAATTTCCATTTTCTGTCACAGAGCCTCAGAGTATTTCAGAGATAGAGTACCATTTTATTTCCCCAAGCCTCAATGAAGTAACAAAGGATTTGGAATCAGGTCTAGGTTCCAGATCAGTCTATGGACTCTGAAGAGCAACTGCCTTTCCTCTGAGGCCTCAGTTCACTCAGCTGGAGAACAGGAACTTGGACTAGTAAATGCTCTCAGGTCTCCTTCAGCTCTGAGTTTATGATGTGGGGACACAGAGGGTCCCACTGAGATACAGCCACACCCAAGGTAGTAAAGGGCCTTTGTTTCATTAGTCAGCACATGAAGGCTGTGCCAGAGGGAGCAGACACCTGTCAGCATGTTATGACTATTCCCTTTTCCAGGGAAGCAGAGACATTCTGAGACCTAGGGGACCTGCATGTTGTAAAAGGCTGGCTTAAGTCAAGGAGCTCTACTGCTCTGTTTTAGAGGAAATATCTGCGTATATATTAGGATGTGCCCTAGTCCTTCTAGATAAGGAAACCAACAAGTTAGTAGAGTGCACCAAGTTTAGGTTCAGAACGCAGGAATCTATGAAGGTGTTTCTGACTTGGGTCACTGGTTTGGAATTTAGGGCTTTGTTACAGAGTGTGACCAACGAGAAAACGTCCTGTTACAATGCTAGAGGTGGGGTTGAAACCAGAAAAAAAGGAAAGACAAATTTTGGTGGAAGTAAGAGTGATGTTGCTATTTTCCTCTGAAGCATGCTGTGAACTGAGTCTCTTTTACCTCAGCTGGCTCCGTATTTCCGTACTTGTGGCCACGACTGCATCCGACGCAAAGGAACTGTTGTGCTTTGCCCCAAAACCAGTTACCACAACACTCCGGATAACAGTAAGTACCAAGTCACTTTCACAGAATGATCAAAGAGGTTCAGTACATGAAGGGCCCAACCGTCGGTGCCCCCCATTCAGTCTGTGACAGGGAGTGTGTGTCTGTGGGGAGTGTGAAGGAGAGTTCCTACTGTGTATGCTGAACTGGGTGCAGAGGACGATGTCACTGCCATCCCACAGAGCCTATGGTCTGAATGCTCATGACCCTTTACAAAGCAGGACATACACAAGTAAGGGAGAAAAAAAGTGCAAAATCGACGTTCAGAGTGCCACAAAATCTCCTGAAAAAAAGAGGGTACATACAGGAACATGCAGTTCACTGCATTTTGATTTGATTCTTTATCAGTCTCAGTGGCCTAGGCATGGCTGGTACTGTGACGTGATGTGGTCACAGGGTCAACATTTGGGTAACAAACCAGGAATAATGGCATCAAAAGACATGCCTCAATGGTGCCTGAGAGCAACACGTTCTGGGAAATGTCTGTCCAGATTCAGAGATGTTTCAGTTAGTTTTCTCCAGACAGATGGACAAATAAAATATTTCTGAACTAGCCCAGGTGTGGGTCAAAAGCTGGAAGGTGTAATTCTCAAAATCGCAGCCAAACAAACTGAAGGCAATCCAGGGGCCTAACAGTCCTGGTTATGGCCTCCTGAGTACTTCTATGTGTGTGAGCTTGCCTGACCGTCGACATTCCTGTCAGTCCAACAAGACAGCCTTTAAATGCCAACTCTGTGCACTATGTATATAAGTAAATGCACCCAGAATAACATCAGTTCATCAAAGAACAAAAAACTGGACGTAAACTCTGCTTTCCACAGTGAAGGTGCCTATGCATACGTGGAGTAAGAAACCAAACCGATTTTAGAGGACTGTTTCTTAATTTCCTGGGTCCCACATGTCTTTTGAGAATCTAACTAAAGATCTGGACCGTCTACAGAAAAACACACATCCACAGACCCGCTAGAGATCTCCTGACCCCTGGTTTCAAAGGGATCTAAGCTTCTATAAAGTAGAATAAAAATCTTAGTTTTCAAGTAGGAGATAAATTTGTTTTTCATCTGCTAAACTTTGTTTTCTCCAGACAGAAGGGTGTTGGGAGACTGGCTGCCTCTCCTCCTCCCAGCTCTGCTGGTGGTGACGTGGGTGCTGGTGGTTGGAATCTATCTACGACGGAGGCATGGTAGGGTTATAATTCAATTCTTAAAGAGACTTTAATGAGGAAATAACGTGAAGAGTGTTTTAAAGGTGATTGCTGCAGAAAGCCACATGGAAGTTTTACCTCAGGAGTACTTAGATCTAGCTGATGTTGTCTGACCTGTAGTACTTACAGTACTTTCACCGTTTCTGCTTTGTAAGACAGTGCAGGGCAGAATTCCACAGTTAAGTCCCAGAGGCTGAAGTGGGACACCACTCAACTTTATGGAACTGTAAGAAAACTCTACCCCCTGGAGGTAGAAGATGGTACACACAACTGAGTTTACCCAACTCAACCCATGATGTCAAGGGCAGAGGTCAGGTCTCCCTGTTTACACATAAAACTAAGAATACTGAAGTTACAACAACCCACCTAAAACAAAGTACCTTAAACCTAAAGTTTCTATGAATTTATCTGAAAAGATATAGCTTGACTGAGAGGACTGCTTTAGTGACAGGGACTTAGAAAACACATCTCTTAAAACATCTTTAAGTTTTAAGCATCTGTGTTTCAGACAATATGTTCAAAGGACTATCCAGGATACTTTCCTCAGTCTCAGTGGCCTAGGCCTGGCTGTTACTGTGACGTGATATGGTCACACGGTATAACAAAGTCCCTGGTGCTCAGCCGTCAGTCTCTAGTGAGGGACTGTTTATCAGCAATGGTTTGGAGTGAAACCCTGATGCTTACTGTTCACAGGTAACAAATGCTCTTGTTCCCCACAGAAAGGATCAAGCAGACTTCCTTTCCTGATACCACACTACTGCCTCCCATTAGGGTTCTTGTGGTTTACCCATCTGAAATATGTTTTCAACACACAGTTTGTTACTTCACTGAATTTCTTCAAAATCACTGCAGAAGTGAGGTCATCCTAGAAAAGTGGCAGAAAAAGAAAATAGCTGAGATGGGCCCAGTGCAGTGGCTTACCACTCAGAAGAAAGCAGCAGATAAAGTAATCTTCCTTCTTTCCAATGATGTCAACACCATGTGTGATGGTACCTGTGACAACAGCGAGGGCAGCTCCAATGATAACTCCCAAGACCTGTTCCCCCTTGCCTTCAACCTCTTCTGCAGTGACCTAAGAAGCCAGACTCGTCTGCACAAATACATGGTGGTCTACTTTAAAGAAGCTGATATCAAAGACGGTTACAGCGCTCTCAGTGTCTGCCCCAAGTACCACCTCGTGAAGGATGCCACTGCTTTCTGCAGAGAACTTCACAGCAAGCAACATGTGTCAGCAGGAAAAAGGTCACAAGCCTGCCACAACTGCTGACCCTGCTCCTAGCACACTCATGAGGACCAAGAGATGCTGAAGCCTTCCTATGCTACCACGTTCCCCTCTCTAAGGAAAAAAGCATTTGTGGTGATCTTGAAGCTTACTGTACAGGCTACTTGGAGGGAAGACTATGGAGGACTCATACTAGAAGCATATGCCTTAGTTTAGTAATTAAAATTTTAGGCCAATAAAACATTGTTGTTAGAAATATTACCATCTTAGCATTAACTAAAAAATTGAAACTAAATTTATAATATTAACTCAATTTTTTAATCTAAAAATCAAGATTAGCTATGAAGGAAACCACAACCATTCTGACAATGCGGTCATAAAGCATTTTCCAGCCAAATGACAGTCTTGAATAGTCCATGTATTACACTGTAGGTAGAAGTGGTTAGCTCGGTAACAGTCTAATTAATACCAAATTTTAGAAGGCTTTGCTAATTCACTCAATAGCTTGTTGTCGGTAGATGCTGTTGAGTCCATTCCAACTCATAGCGACCCTATCTATGTATGACATATTGAAACTCTGCCCCATCCTGAGCCATCCTCACAATCGTTGCTATGTTTGAGCCTGCTGCTGCAGCCACAGTGTCAGTCCATCTCGTTGAGGATCTTCATCTTTTTCACTGACCCTCTACTAAGCATGACGTCCTTCTCCAGGGACTGGTCCTTCCTGATAACACGTCCAAAGTAAGCAAGACAAAGTCTCACTATCCTTGTTTCTAAGGAGCATTCTGGCTGTACTTCTCCAAGACAGAATTGTTTGTTCTTCTGGCAGTCCACAGAATATCCAATATTCTTCGACAACATCATAATTCACGTGTCAATTCTTCTTTGGTCTTCCTTTTTCATTTTTCAGCTTTTGCATGCATATGAGGCAATTCAAAGTACCAAGGCTAGGGTCAGGCGCACCTTAGTCTTCAAAGTGACTTTGTTTTTTAATACTTTAAAGAGGTCTTTTGCAGCAGATCTGACCAATGCGACATGTTGTCAGATTTCCTGACTGCTGCTTCCTAGGTGTTGATTGTGGATCCAAGTAAAAGGAAATCCTTGACAACTTCAATATTTTCTCTGTTTATCCTGATGGTGCTTATTGGTCCAGTTGTAAGGATTTTTGTTTTATGTTGAGATGTAGTCCATACTGAAAGCTGTGGTCTTTGATCTTCGTCAGTAAGTGCTTCAAGTCCTCTTTGTTTTCAGCAAGAAAGGTTGTGTTATCTACAGGCTGTCAATGAGTCTTCCTCCAATCCTAATGCCGTGTTCTTCATCATACAGTCCAACTTCTCAGATTATTTGGTCAGCATACACATTGTCAGCATACACAATATCCTCTTCTGTTTAAACAACTGCCTCCTGCCTCTTGGTCTATGTACAGTTCTGCATGAGCATGAGTAAGCATTCTGGAATTCCGATTCTTCGCAATGTTACCCATAATTTGTTATGATCCACACAACCGAATGCCTTTGCATAATCAATAAAACACAGGTAAACATACTTGTGATAGTCTCTGCCTTCAGCCAAGATCCACATGACATCAGCAGTGATATCCCTTGTTCTACATCCTCTTCTGAATCTGGCTTGAATTTCTGGCATTTCCCTGTTGATGCGCTACTGCACCCATTTTTTAATTACCTTCAGCAAAATTTTACTTGTATATGATATTAATTATAATGTTTGATAATTCTGCATTCTTTTGCATCACCTTTCTTTGAAATGGGCACAAATATGGATCTCTTTCAGTCGGCTGGCCAGGTAACTGTCTTCCAAATTTCTTGGCATAGATGAATGTGTGCTTACAGCGCTGCATCCATTTGTTAAAACATCTCAACTGGTATTCCGTCAACTCCTGAGCCTTTTTTTCACCAGTGTCTTCAGTGCAGCTTGGACTTAATACCATCCGCTGTTGATAATATGCTATTATCAACATGGCTGAACGTCAACCAGTTCTTTTTGGTACAGTGACTCTGTATATTCCATCTTCTTTTGATGCTTCCTGCATAGTTCAGTATTTTCCCTGTAGAATCCTTCAATACTGCAATTTGAGGCTTGAATTTTTTCTTCAGTTCTTTCAACTTGAGAAATGCGAAGCATGTTCTTCCCTTTTGGTTTTCTATCTCCAGGTCTTTGCACATTTCATTTTAGTACTTTACTATGACTTCTCAAGCCACTCTTTCAAATCTTCTGTTCAGCTCTTTTATGTCATCATTTCTTCCATTCGCTTTAGCTATTCAACACTCAAGAGCAAGTTTCAGTCTCTTCTGATAGCTATTTTGGTCTTTTCTTTCCTTCTTGTCTTTTTAATGACCTTTTGCTTTCTTCATGTATGATATCCTTGATGTCATCCTACATCTCATCTGGTCTTCAGTCATTAGTGTTCAATGTGTCAAATCTGTTCTTGAGAGAGTCTCTAAATTCAGGTGGGATATACTAAAGGTTGTACTTTGGCTCTCGTGGACTTAATTTTCATCAGCTTCAACGTGAACTTGCATACGAGCAAGCAACTGATGATCTGTTCCACATTCGACCCCTGACCTTGTTTTAACTGATGATACTGAGCTTCTCCAAAGTCTCTTCCCACAGATTTAGTCAATTTGATTCCTGTGTATTCCATCTGGCAAGGTCCACGTGTATAGTTGCCATTTATGTTGTTGAAAATAAGTATTCCCAATAAATAGGTGGGTCATCTTGCAAAATTCTATTATGTGATCTCCGGTGTCCTTTCTATCGCCAAGGCCGTATTTTCCAACTACTTCTTTGTTTCCAACTTTTGTATTCCAATCACCAGTAATTACCAATGCAAACTGATTGCATGTTTCATCAATTTCACACCGCAGAAGTTGGTAAAAATCTTTAATTTCTTCATCTTTGGCCTTAGTGGTTGCTGTGTAAATTTGTATAATAGTCGTATTAACTGATCTTCCTTGTAGGTGTATGGATATTATCCTATAACTAAAAGAGCTGTACTTCAGGATAGATCTTGAAATGTTCTTTTTAACAATGAATGTGATGCCGTTCCTCTTCACTGTCATTCCCGGCATAGTAGACCATATGACCGTCTGATTCAAAATGGCCAATACCAGTCCATTTCAGCTCACAAATGCCTAGTATACTGATCTTTATATGGTCCATTTCATTTCTGACAACTTCCAATTTTCCTAGATTCATACTTCATACATTCCACGTTCTGATTATTAATGGATGTTTGCAGCTGTTTCTTCTCATTTTGAGTCATGCCAAATCAGCAAATGAAGGTCCTGAAAGCTTTACTCTATCCACGTTATTAAAGTCTACTCTGAGGAGGCAGCTCTTCTCTAGTCATATTTTGAGTGCCTTCCAACCTGATGGGCACATCTTATGGCACTGTATCAATGTTCTGCTGCTACCAATAGGTTTTCACTGGCCAATTTTTTTAGATGTAGATCACGAGATCCTTCTTCCAAGTTCCTCTATTACATGCAAAAATCATTTTTAAGATAACTGAAGTACAGAATAAGCTGAACCCACCTTTACTGACCAATGACGTAGAGTATGTGTAATCACTTGCATTATTTCATATTTACATAGGACGTTCTCTCTCAGAAGTAGATTCATGTCCTGTTTGACCCTTGTGCAAGTGACTTTTAACATGAACACTGAAATATATTATCTGTAGACTTGGTGTGTACTTTTGCTCTAAACTACCTAATAGAGGACACTGTCAGAGTTCTTGGGGTTTCTCAGTTAGTATATAATTTTTCATGTTCAAAACAAAAATAATTCTTGTTAAGTTGAAAATTAGCCCTCTTCAGGCATCTTTTTATAAATGAGGTATTATAATGGTTTACATAAACAAAAGACAAACTATCACTGAATTACAGAACATAGAGGTACGTGGTATTTTAAATCTTTCTACCTTTTATTTTTCTACAAGCATCTTTTTCTTAATGTAGAGATCACAAAAATGTACTTTTTAATATTAGCATACATGTTTTTCTAGGAATGCCTGTCTCTTTCACACAGTGCAATACTGACTCTGCTCTGAAATGTGGATCAGTTTCAGATGGTTCACTGTTAAAATGTATTACATTTGCAGATTAGCCTTACAGGACTATGCCACTCCTAATATATGTCTTATACATAAAATAAAAACCCAAATAAAGAAGTATAGAGTGAAAACTTACCGTGTCCAGCTTCACAAGTGGATACTTAGTGAAGGCAGAGGCAATGTGTTTAATGTGGTAAAGCTCACTTATTTGTCATGATCAGTTTTCACAGTGCTATAAGTGCTGGTAATAAAAGATGGATATGGCTTATGTCAAAACTTAGACCAGAAACCAACTTCTTATGAATTAACATCTACCAGTTACAAGAGCAATACGCTGTTATGTGAAAAGCTATTATAAACAGAAATATACTTTTGGATCTGAGTAGCCAATAGTAAATTGTGTTGAAACAGCCCAGAAACAAATAAAATCAATATTGTATAAATTTATTTTGCTAAGAAATTAAAAAACATAAAACAGAACAGTTTTTAAATTGAAGGCACATATCTAAAATGGCATTAGAAAGTTGAAATTATTTTCTTATATTGGTGAACTCTTCTTTGTTCCTAACCTACTGAGCAGACATCCAGGGCACTTTGATGTATGTAAAATGCTCTAGTGCCAGCATCTCTCCTTGTCCTAGGATTTCTGACCATCTTTCTTATTTCTGTATTCCATTCTTATCTTCATCTCTTCTCTGTCTCCGCTTCTGTCTTTCCTCTCGAGATGGTGGAAGCAGGCACCTAGCAGCAAGTATGGCAGCCACCTCCCACTCCTCCCTCTGACCCCCAGGCTGTGCTCACCGACTGGCTCCTGACTCAGGACAGTGCCTTCTCCTCCTTTTGCTGGGGGCTCAGAAGCCTCACTAAGGCGTGGGCCACAGGTCGTAGTAGCTGTCTTGTTATTTAGATTTTGCTTCGGCTTGCTTTGTTTAAGGTCAACTGATCATACTGAACACAAGGAACTTCTTGGTTCTTCAGGTAAGGGAAAATTTGGAAGTTTAATGATTAAGTCAGTAGTAATTACAACTTAATCAATTTGTTTAACCGTACAAGTTAATTCTGTAAACTACACCTAAATCACTTCTATTTTGGTTTAGGAAGGAAACGACTTCCTTTTCAGCTCTTACTCAGTGTTGGTCAAATAATAATTGTTTTCCTTCCCCAAGCCCATCCTAGAGCATTCCAGGTGACAAAAACCAGCCCAGCCTTAAACCTTTGCTTCAGGAACTCTAGACTTGAATGGGTCCCAATCTTTTTGTCCTCCAACAAAGAAAAAATAAAAAAGGAAAGTTGTTTTCCTACTTGGAATTCCAAGAGGGCACATGAGTCATGTTACGTGTGCCTACAGCTCTGATGACCTTAAAATCTAACTCCTGTACTAGGCAAGGAGGAAAATGGCATAGCCAGATGGTTCTTTCCTTGATCCGGGTACACAAGTCACATACCTTCAGCTGCTTGAGACCACCTAACGACACCTGGAAGTCAACTTAATGACTTCAACACGTGAGACCTGTTTAACAGCAACATTTTACATCATTGGGGACTTCATGAGATCCTGAGAACGGGGCAGGAGAGTGAAGAGTAAGTCTGCATTTCTCAATTGTCCTGAGTACAAAAGCAGCTTATAATTACACACCAATGTCATGTCCTCAAAATAAAACTGAACTTCATTTCTTTTCCATAAAACTTAAGCATCTAGGCTAATAAATTAAAATATATATATTCTGTAAGAGTGTTTTATACCATGAGGCTTGTTTTTGGTTTTCAACAGTGACTTTTTCTCCCCGTCTCACCACACAAAAGCAGCTCGCTCTCGTAACATGCGGACACCAAAGCGCTGCCATTCTCGCTGATAAATCCACAGTTCCTGTGTCGTATCCAAACAAGCTAACACTGCCCCTCCTTTCCATGCAATCAACCGGGGATCCATATCCTAAAGAAGTGATAAGAATATTTCCATATAAGCAGATAATTCAAGATATATACGTAATCATTTACTTGAACTGGGGGGGAAGGGTCCTGCCATGTCAATACACAGTAAGCCAGATTTTTAACCTGCATGAGATAGGACCCATGAAACTGCACACATCTTTGTTTCAAATGACAAGAAATTTTTTAATTTTTATTACTGAAGATGCTGCTTTGACAATTATTCCACAAACAGACAGGACCTAGAGGCAAGAACATATATAAGGAAATAGCTTATTTTGAAGTGAGTGGCACAGATACATCCCCACAGTCCCTCCCTCAAGATAGAACATTCCCCTAGAATTGCCACTGAGATTTCATAAAATATAGACAATCTGTTTCTAAATTCCTGGGTTTAAGTTTCTTTTCAAAAACCAGAAAGACAGTTCAAGTCACAAAAGTCCTTAAACACCATCTGGTCCAGGGACTAGGAGTAGATTCTTAATATCAAAGAGATAAAAATGGAGCTGTTGTGGTTGATAGTGCATGAGAGGCCGTCTTCTGCCTGTCCCCACCTGGTCCTTTTACAAAGGCAGAAATCAGGCATGCTAGCGTGGAGAGCACGACGGGCTACAACTCCTAGTCCCCAGTCCCTTCCACCATATCTGTGACCTGCTGCAAGTAATTTTTCCACTTGCCTCAAAGCTAGCGTGGAGAGCACGATGGGCTACAACTCCTAGTCCCCAGTTCCTTCCA